AATTATTATTATTATTATTATACTGAACGTATTACAAGATTAATATGATAATCTCATTTGTAGATGTTTACAATTTACAACTTTACAATGTTGTTTTCATATGTTAACAAATAAAATCAAAAGAAAGAAACTGCAATGTATATAAATCTTATCAGAAGCATCATACAGTAAAGTCGTCTATAACGGATCTTCTATATTACGGAGATCTTGACTTGCTGACGGGTCGAGACGATGAAGACGTCACACATATTTTTCTGGGTCTATTTACTATTTTAAAATATTACTGCAAATCGGAAACTAATCTAACGCGAAAATAGACGTTTTATGTCCAGTTGCATAACGTAACCTGAGCAAAATAATATAACTTTTCAGTTAGTGATCCAGATCTGCTTTTTCGTGACAGATTTTACAATCTATTATTACTTTTCCCTGTTTATTAAGATTATATTTTTATTGTTTGAAAAGTAGATATATTAATACGTGAGCCCCAAATCGTCACTTTTATTTAAGTTAGTTTTTATCTTGTTCTTAAATCTTGAAATTCAATTTTCATTCACTCCTGATCAAGGTAGATACGTCCACCAAGTTTCAGACTTCTATCTCCGATGACAATAGACTTTAATAATGTTGTGAGTACCGAGGGGGCAGTGATCCCGTTTACCGGCGGCTCTTGTCAAGCGATGGGTTAGGAGGGCTATAAGTGAGTAGGGAGGTCGATTAGTAAGTTGACAGGTACCGAAATAAATACACAGGTTCACAGGTTCAACAAATATAACATATTTAATAAACAATTTAAATAATACAAGCAAATGCAAAAGCTAATAGCTACCTTAAATGGAAATGATCAAAAATTCTAGTTTGCGACAATTCTGTCGGTAGACCGTCCAAAGTCTGACTAACTCTAGCAGAGAGAGACCTGAGAGAGAAAAAATTTTTCTGTTACCTCCTGGTTTCCCTATCTTGTTGTATGGGTCGTTGACAAAAACGTTCCAGGATCAGCAGAGTTGACCATGGGATATTCTGGCGGGGTGGCAACAGACAGAGTGGCGGTATGGGTCTGGTGATCCCGGTTGATGTCCGCTGTGGGTATCCGCCGTTGATGTCCTCTCGGAGGATTGTGTTTAAGCCTTTTTTTATCCTATTTTTGAGTGGTGAGAACTGTCAAATAGTTGATGATTTATAAGAACACCTGTTAGCTATGCCGGATTTAGATACAGCTGGTACGGAATGTCGCCAATGTATTCTTTGGTCGGATTGTTGACATTGGTCTTCTGAAGGTGAATTTTATGATATAAATTCCTACGAATTTGACAGCTCTCTCCCATTAATTATTGTATAGTTTGACAACGTCTTCTCAGATTTGACAACAATATCTAGATTATTTATATTAAAAGTCGTATTAGTCGACGAGAGAGGCAATTATTATCATGTTGTTTTGATTATCGTACAGGTGTCCGCAGACACGTGCCACGTGCAGCTAAAAGAGAAGTGAGAAACGCCGCTTATTAGTCTCTTTTAAACGTCCGTTCTTGCCTTGTTGATTTTATCGTTGATCGAATTTATCGATATAGTCTGTGACATTTAAACCGAAGAGAGAGTTTCGATCGTTGATTATAGACTATCCCTTTTTTCTGTAAAATTACTAGTGTTAGGAGAAGAACGATACTGATTTAAACGATACGAAAAGAAAAGGGGACAAAATATCAGAATATTGTAGGAGGTGACCATCCCATCGTTCTCACCTCGAAACCCAATTAATATAACCAAATGTAGAATTTAATCAAGTGTAAAAATGCACAATAATGATATATGTGGTAACATGGCTCTACCCCATCAATCCTCATCTAATTCTCGAAGATCATGACCAATAAAGTTCTTATTTGTAATTTTTATTTCTTAAAATAAATCTATTAAAATTATTTACTTACTAGACTTATAAATACTAGCTATGTTTAATACTCTTTTGATTTATTTGAAATGTGTGTATCGTAATATAGGTTATATAATACCAAAGAATACCCAAATTTTTCTTGTACAATATACAATAAAAAAACAATACCTCATAAAATTTCTTCCCTGTTTAAAATCTTTCATTCTTCTCATTAAAAAGGAAAGGTAATTGCTCGGACATCGATTTTGTTTGTTCCGAACACAGAGATCTTCATAGCGTAAGAAACTATTATTCCAAAATACGCTAA